AGCGAGCGGGAGCTCAGGGAGAGGAAATTTAGTCTGCGTTAAGCACGGGGGCACTGTGGGTCACAGCTCGGATTCTTTAGGACAGAGCTCCGAAACCCACGCACCCACAGCGGCAGAGCCAGCCAGCCCAACAGCAGCCCGAGTCACAGCCCACGCCCGGGGACGCCACCACGCAGCGCCCCACTTCCCAACTATCCAAGTGTCATCTCACCACTGGAGGCCGGGGGCTGTTACAGGCGACATGGGACCGGCTTCGTGCTATGCACAAAACACCCCTCCGCAGGTCATCGGCTCGGCACAAAAACCCGCCAGGAAACAGGCAAAGGAGCTCCCAGGGGGCAGCCAGCACAGCACCAGCCACGGGCAGCCCTGGGGGCTCGGCAGCCGACATTACCCAGCATGCCATGCAGGCCGCTCACTCAGACCTCCACCGCAGGGGCTGGACCTTTCTGTGCAGAGCAGGAACATCCAGAGCTCTGGTTAATTAGGGGTATTAAACCTCCTGCTGTAGGGGTTTCAGACAATGGATCAGACACCTGGGGAGGGGGGCAGATGACCCTGCTGAGTGTCCAGTTTCTCACACCTTCCTATGAAGCACCTGGTGCCAGCCAGGGTCAGTGACAGGAGACTGGATTAGATGGCCTGGGGTCTGACCCAGTCAGGCCATTGCTATGCTGGTGGAGCGGGAGGACTGGCTCTCAGTCCTGTCAGCTGTGCAGACTGCTCTCTCCTTTGGAAGGTGAAGGTAGTTGCAACCTGTCCCTCTCTCTTAGCAAAGCCTGGATGCCCCTGGTTTGACAGGGACCAGCAGCTCTGAGGGCTGAAATCCTCTGCCAGCAGCAGCCAGCCTGGGCGAGCCCCACTTCGATTTCCTGGGTACAGCTTGTGAGGATCCGGGGACTAGAACCCGGGTCTGCAGAGCCTGGGTCAGCTGATGTTCCCACAGCGCCACCAGGAGACCATGCAGAGGTACAGCCAGGGAGCACCATGGAGACCACCCAAGAGACCCAGACTGACGGTACCCTACAGCCCTCTGATTGGCCAAGCACCCTATTTATCCTCAGGGGTTGCCCCTGGAAGTTGTCCAGGTAACCACAGAGATTTTGGCCCTTTGCTTGAGCTCCAGCCTCCCGACTCCAGCCCGGTACCAGCTCTGAGCTCCGGCCTCCCAACCCTGGCCTGACTCTGAACCCGACTCTTGCTTACGGGACCTGGCTATTGCAATTCCTCCAACTCCAGCTTGGTGATTACTGCCCTTGGGCAGACCTCAGCCCAGCTGTGACCGCTGGGCAACACCACCTACAGCCCAGGCCCTTACACAGCCTGGGCTGGTTCACTTGACTAACTGCACAGTTGTGCTGAGGAACACCCAGCTGGACTCAATGACCTTTGCAGAGAGGAAGGGTTTGAACCCTCCCCCAGGAACAATCACAAATCTAGAAGGTTTTGAAGTCCAGGATCTCACAGCAAGCACGACAATATGCCCTCCCAACAGAAATGGGGGAGGCAGCCTGCCCAGAGGCGGTGCCCTGGGCAAGTCTAGTGCAGGTGGGAAGAGGCAGCAGGAGCAGAGATCTCGCTGAGCCCCTTCCGAGAAGAGAGCCCCAACCTGCAGTGCAATTCTGCAGAAAGGCCCCCTCCTTCCCCTCCACACGCACAGCCCAACCCACCAGACCGCAGCCGTACGGTCGGGGGATGAGTGAGACCGTAGCCAGGCGACTCCTTCAACGATCCAACTGGCTCTGTAGCTTCCACAGTGGCTGGGCAGAAGGAAGCCCCAGGTTGTGGGGTGAGCGCCCAGTACCTGCTGGTGGAACTGGAGTCGGGAGGCTGGCTGCTCCCCACAGCACCTAGTGGCAATAACTCACCAGATGTGGGGAGGGGGCATTAGTGTCTCTAAACAAATCCCCCTACACAGACTTCAAAAGAGCTTCTAATTCACCCTGGAGGGCGAGGCCACACCTAGAGCTTCAACTGGAGTCAAGGCTCAGTGAGAAACTGGCGCCCTGTTGGGGGAAACATGGCTGGCCCCGAGGGGGGCTGGCTCCACGCTCTCTTATGGGGAAGGGGTGGCTGGGCCCCATGCCCTCAGCCAGCTATAGGCAAGCGAGGGCTCCCAGCAGAGGCAAACACAAAGCATACAGTGTGCGCGCATCGCAGCCGCAGGAAGCGGAAGCCTCAGGGCTCTTATGGAAGAGAGATAAATACAATCACAGAAAGGGGGTTGGGGGCAGGGGGAGGGAAGTCAGGAACAAAACCACTGAAAGTTGTTCTGATGTCAGCAGGTTCTGAATCAGTGCTTCCCCCACTGGGGCCCTGAAATAGGACCAGCTGGGGAGACAGACCTTGAATTCCTGCATGAAAGGGTTTTTCCCTGGGTTATGCTGCAGCCATTACACAAGTGTACATTTTCTAAAGTCGTATATTTCACTTCTCTCTAAATCTCTATTCCAGATCTGGGGGCAGGGACAGCCCTGGCCCAGGTGGGCCTCAAGCCCGCTAACATCTAACCTCCAGGGCCTTCACGGGACCAGACAGGCAAGCAGGCTCCCAAGCCCCCTCCTCTCAAAGCAGACTTAACACGAAGGTCCTGACCTCTTGCAATTGCTGCGTGCCCTATGAGAGCTGGGGTGTCCTCCCCGCGGCCCAGCCAGCCCCTGCTCGGGTAATTCCATCCCGGCTCTCAGAACAGCAGCCTGTAGCTCTGGACACCCCGCCAGCCTCGGCGGTGCGGCCCCGGGAGGCAGAGCACTGCACCGTCTCCTCACCCCACGCTCTGGGCCGAGCGAGCTCTTACCCTTGGGTTCACAGCCTCAGACCCAACCGCTGCCCCAAAACAGGCAGGCTGAAGACGGTTAAGCAGTCTTGGGGGACTGCAAACTAACGATCACAGAACCAAGAGCGACGAGCCCCGTTGCGATTCCAGCTACGCAATCCCCAGAAAGCTACAGCAGCCTTCTCTCCCAGCCTAACCCAAGAGGCAAAGCACTCCAGTGCCTACTGCCTTATGAGCCTAGGGTGGGTCCTTGGCTCTCTCCTGCCCACGTATCTTGCCTCTCTGGGCCTCTGTATCCCCTCTGTCCTGGCACTGGACTAGAGGCTTTACCGGAATCCAATGTATCCCATTTACTCCATTCCCTTTGGTCACTGATTGGGCAACTAAAAAACAGAATCAAGTTTGTCCAGCAAGACCAATGTTTCACCTTCCCTCCGGTTAAGCTGCTTACCGCTGATGGCTCCATTATCCTTTAGAACATAAGAACAGCCACATTGGGTCAGACCAGCGATCCCTCTAACCCTGCATCCAGTCCACTCACAGTGGCCAGTGCCAGGTGCCCCAGAGGGAATGAACAGAACAGGGAATCATCAAGTCATCCATCCCGTCGCCCGTTCCCAGCTTCTGGCACACAGAGGTTTAGGGACACCCAGACAATGGGGTTGCATCCCCTGCTCATCCTGGCTAATAGCCATTGTTGGCCTAGCCTTCATGAACTTATCTAGTTCTTTTCTGAACTCTGTTATAGTCTTGGCCTTCACAGCATCCTCTGGAAACAAGTTCCACAGACTGACTGTGCGCCGTGTGAAGAAATACTTCCGTTTGTTTTAAACCTGCTGCCTATTCATTTCACTGGGTGACCCCTGGTTCCTGTGTTATGAGGAGTAAACAACACTTCCCTAGGCACTCTCTCCACACCAGTCCTGATTTTATAGACCTCAGTCATATCCCCCCTTTGTCGTCTCTTTTCCCGGCTGAAAAGTTCCAGGCTTTTTAATCTCTCCCCACGCAAAAGCTCTTCCAGACCCCTGACCATTTTTGTTGCTGTTCTCTGTTCCTTTCCCACTTCTAGTGTCCGTTTTGAGCTGGGGCGACCAGACCTGCCGTAATCACAGAGCGGGCGTACGATGGATGGACGGACGTGAACACTGGCTCTCAACCTTCATCCCCTTATTTTACCAGGGTCCGAAGCAGACTGAGAGCGATTGCCAGGCTCACCGCTCCTTGCGAACGTTTCCAGTGCACACTGGCTTTTCAGTGCAATTCTCTGTGGCACTCGACAGGCATTAGCCAGCAGCCTCAGCACTGCACGGGGCCTGCCCTCCAGACAGCAGCATCTTCCCTTGCCACGCATGGCTTTCCCCACAGCTAAGTGCACCAGGCGCTTTCACGGGCCTGGCTCACTCACCGTAGGGGTCTTGTGGAGGGTAAGTTCAAAGCAGTTTGGGTACCAATTTCCCAGACACACAATGACACTGGTGAAATGGCATGTACGCCCCCCCCGCCCCAGCCCACAGAGCAGCCAGCGTGGGGGAAATTCTCCCCTTGACCCCAAAGGCGAGCCAAGAAAGCCTCCCTGTTGATCTCGTCCCACCCTGCTGCCTGTTTTGACCGAGCACTTAGTCTCAATTCCCTTTCCTTTGGCCTTCCTGAGCACCAGCTTGCCACACGCCAACATGCCAGATCTTCCGACGCACTATGGAGGGGGACTACAGCACCGCTTTCTCCAGCATGGCCCCTAGCTCCCGCTCCGTTTGGGACACTGCTGAGGATTTCCCTCCTTGCCCTGAAAACACTCCATACAGATCAGACGTCGCAGGCCTGAAGCTAAGTTTTCCAGGCTGTGGACCCCACAATGAATTACTCAAGGTATACGAGAACAAACTGCACATGCGAAAAAAAAAAAAAAAAAATCCCACTGCTTCCCAGGTAGTATCAGCCGCCTCCCCATTCCTTCCTGCTGCCAAGAACTACTTCCCGGCCTCTTGACTCTCCCTTGGCTTCCCAGTCTCCGCAGAAGAGTTCTTTTCGCCTTGCCCCAGCCCTTGGAGACCGGCAGGCTCTATAGCAAGCAGGGACCAACTCCACAGCCTTACCACTCACCATGAACAGCACTTTGCAATGGGCCCGAGGAAACGCCCAGCTCACAAAGCCATGCCTGGCTGACCAAGCCCACCATGTCTCAACCACAGCAGAGCTTATGCCACTTCAACCTGGGTCCTACCTCTTCGTCTGAGCTGTCCTCCTCGTATTCACCCTTCAGAGGCAGTTCCTGCTGGGCGCTGGGCTTTGAGTCGGTCTCCAAGCTCTGGCACTGCACTTGTTCCTTCTTCTGGGAAGCCATCCTGGCCTGCAAGGCAACGAGAAGACAGACTCGGTTCAGTGTGACCCCATTACACCGACTGTGCGTGACATGACCACTTGTTTGACTCGGTAACCTCCCCCATTTGGGAATTTCAATGAAGCTCCCAGAGTGCCCGTCAGCTGCAGAGCATCACAGAAGCCAGGACCTACTGAACTCCCAAGTTTTTCCCCCCACCACCCAAGCCCTTACCCTCAGGATCCTGGGTAGACCAGGGTCACCATATTACCCAAGGAAGGAATTAGTTTATTAGACTAGGTGATTCTAAAAAAGGAACAGCCCACCCTTACAGCCCCCAGGAACAGCCCACCCTTACAGCCCCCAGGAACAGCCCACCCTTACAGCCCCCAGGACTGTGAAGAGAAAAAGGAATTAGCCCCAACCTCCTGGGGGCTAGCCATTGGGGCAATCTTCTAGGCAGCTGTACTGCCTTCCCCAGCCACAGAGGAGAACACCCTCTAACTTGACTGACTTTTTCTCCCCCCTGCAGCTTCTGCTGGCCGGTCACGTTCTGCTAAATCCCCCAGCCAAGGGTCAAACCACAGGCACCTGCCCCACGCAGCCCATGGCATAACCCCCTCTGGGAGGACACTCGCTCGTTCCACGCCCAGACAAGGCTACTGCAGAGATGGGGCGCCAGACAGGACATGGGGATGGGGACGGGGAAGGCATGCTCTGGTTAGCCCAGCCCTGCCCCAGGAACAGCAGAGAGGGATGTGTGCAGGCTCCTCAGGCCCTGGAGGGGGCTGGCAGCTCGGGAGATAAACGTCTGGCTATTCAGAGCACACAGGCCTGGGCAGCCCCTGCAGGCCACATCACACATTCCCAGAGCAAGCCGGACCCAGCTCTGCATTCAGCATCCCCTTCCCTGCAAACCAGCAGCCTCAGGATTTCTGATGCTCGCCCCACATGTCCCTACAGACTCCCCACCCACAGCCCGTTTAACTATGGCAACCAAGATTTAGAACCGTAGGACTGGCAGGGACTCGAGAGGTCGTCTAGACCAGTCCCCTGCACTCGTGGCAGGACTAAGTATTCTCTAGCCCATCCCTGACAGGGGTTTGTCCAACCTGCTCTTAAACATCCCCAAGGACGGAGACTCCACAACCTCTTTGGGCAATTTATTCCAGTGCTTATCCACCCTGACAGGAGGATTTTTCTAATGTCCAGCCTAAACCTGATGAAATACATCCGAGAATGCTCAAGGAGCTGACTGAGGAGATATCTGAGCCATTAGTGATCATCTTCAACAAGTCCTGAAAGACGGGAGATTCCATAGGACAAATACAGTGCCCATCTGCAAAAGCGGGAATAAGGACAACCCAGGGAATTATAGGCCAGTCAGCTTAATTTCTGTGCCCAGAAAGATAATGGAGCAAATAATTAAGCCATCAATTTGCAAACATCTAGAGGATAATAAGGTGATAAGTAACAGTGGGTATGGATTTGTCAAGAACAAATCGAGTCACACCAACCTAATAGCTTTCTGTGACAGGGTAACAACCCTTGTGGGTAGGGGGGAAGCAGAAGACGTGGTATATCTTGACTTTAGTAAGGTCCAGAGTGATGGGAGAAAGTCTCAGGCTAAGGCCACTGCAGGTGCTGGCAGCCAGATTCACACTGGGGTGTCTAAAGCCGATGGACAATGTATTTGAGACACGGGCTGAGCAGCAGATGGGCCTTTGCTCGGTCTGATGCCCTCTGGTACAGCCAGCCCCCAAAGCGTCCCTGCAAGGTGTGGGCTCGCTGATGACACCCAAGGGTGCTGCCATTTCGTAACCACAAGTTTTTCTTTGTGCCCAAGGCAATTCTAGCAAAGAATGGGCCAGGCACAAGGCTGCACTCACAGCCCTCTGCTAACTGTGCGCCTCCCAGCAGCTCAGGGTACCCCGGGCAGCGCTCCAGAGCGACGCGCACCTGCATCTCCACGGTACCTAGGGGTGCCCACAGCATATCCAGCCATGGGTCCCCCTGACCGCTTGTCAGAAGCAATGGGATCAGACCGGATCTGCCTGAAATGGCGCCGAACACAGCTTCCAGCACAGCACAGGGCAGCCTGGCAAGGCCCCCGGTGACCGCACACCCTGCATGTTGAGTCAGAGAGCTGCATGCTGGGATGTGTGGCGTGCGGGACTGCCCCCATGGCATTCCAGGCATTAGCCACCCTGCGCAGCCCGGGCAGGGCTCAGCCTCACTCCGACATGGGTAACCAGACAACACCACGTTGCAGACTGCGCCCACTCGCTGACCTGCAGACCCGGCCCTGGAAAAGAGATTCTCCCCCCCGCCCCCCTCGGGGGACCCAGGCTGGATCGGGTTTACCAGAGGAGTCAATGAAATAATCAGAAAAACAGCCCCAGAAAACCCCCCTCAGGGGAGCAGTAAAATCCACACAGCGTGCGATCACCTTCGACTGCACACAACACCAACGCCGCTCCCGCCGAGCCGCAGGGAGCCGGGTGGGAGAGAGCCTGGAAAATACAGGGCCAGCAAGGGGATGAGATTACTGCAAAAACAAAAGGCTTTATTAAATTTTTTTAAGAAGGAGATTGGAGATAAGTTTTTCTCCAGGCTTTTGGCGCTCAGATGGCTTTGGACCGGAGTTTCCATCTCCCCCCCCACTCACTTCCCCTCTCCCCCCGCCACCACGGTGAGCTTTGGAGAAAGAGCTCGCACTGCCAAACCGGGTCACTGGCGCTGCAGGCTGCCTCTGACAGCCAGTGGCACACCATCCTCCGCCCTCAGCGCCAGCCCCTTCCTCGAGCCCTCGGGCTGCGTAGCCCACCGACACCCTCAGCAGTGACCTAGCCAGCAGAGGAGACAAGCTGTGCGCTCCCTGGGAGCGGAGATCAAACCACGGTCTCTGGGCTGCTTAAGCAGAGCCCTTGCGTAAAATCCGTCCCAAGTCACCCTCTAGCACATCTGGGATGCAGGCAGGATTCTAGTGCTTAGCGATTAACTACATCTCCGGGCATTAACCAGCTGCGGAGAACTCTCCCTAGCAAAGCAACGGTCCCCAAAAGCCACGAGGAAGTCCACAGACAGGGCAGCATTCGAGCACAGACTGGCAGAGACCCTGCCCTGCTCTTGACCAAAGGCTTTCTGGGGAGCTGCTTTCTCGACGTCCACAGGTGCCCGGAAGCTAGGCAGGCCTTTGCGCTGATAGGAGGCTCAGGACTCGTCGGGGGAAGCCAGCTCACCCCTGCAGAGATGATCCAGATGGCTGGGTACATGCCGAGTGCACTCACAGGTCACTCCTTTATCAAGGGCTGATTGGAAAACCCTTCGGTGCGTTTCGCAGGTCGGTTGGTTTTGGTGCTTGGAAGAGCTCTGCTAGGAATCAGTGCGACGGGGCTCAGCTCACCCAGGGGGCAGCAGTGCAACCATTTAGTAGATTAGGGCCCTTTAACTTCTGCTTGAACTAATCGGGAGTGGTGGGTAACCCGGGGGCTTTGCTCCGCGATCAAACCAACAAAGAGCGCCTCTAACAGGCCCAGCTGCTGGGACACTGGAGTCCACTAGAGGGCAGCACGCAGCGCTGAAAGCTAACAGGGACAAGCTAACAATTGTCCCTGGGGCAGCCCCTGACTCCCAAGCCACCGCAGGGGGCCGGGGGACAAGGAGGTGAGCTGGTGTCAGCAAGACTCGCAGCCAAGTCTCCGGCTGCACCAGGATCCTTCACCTGGGCTGAAGAGAGTTTGCACCAACAGGAACCAACGGACCGAGATGTTTCGTCTCCGAAGCGGGGGAGCACATTGCTCAGTCATTTTCAGCCACAGTTCAGATTCACAGCCAGACAGGACTGGAGACCGTCCCTGGCTCCAGCCAGGGGGATTGCTGGGAGAAGGAAGCCTCCCACAGGTGGCTAATCAGACCTCTATACTGATCCGCAGCCCCCCACTATTGCAGACCTGCACACCCCACATCCAGCTCTGCTGATGCCCTTCAATCCTGGACTGCAGTCGGAGACGTGGGACAAGATCAGGGAAGGGAGGAAAAAGAACGAACGAGAAGGGAAAATACTGAACGGAAAGCGAGGAAGAAGGAAGGAGACGGACGGCAGAACAAACTTCGAGACGCATATTAAAAAGAACCAGAGAACAATAAAGCACAATGAAGCACAGCCGTAGGATGCTACATTTGAAAAACATAATGAGAGCGACTGCCAAGAAGTTACACGGAAATCCAGGCGCCCCATGTCCCATCTGACATGCAGCCTGGCATTCAGCCCCGTAACCCCCTCGTCTGCTGGACCAGAGCAAGCAGCCAGCTTTCCTGGCAAAGTCCAGCCAGCACCAGCCACTGTTGCATCCTCTCACCTGGCACGGAGAGAGCACCGAGCCCACGTGGCCGTGAAAAAGGTAAACGAAGCATGGCCTATGCTGCAGCTGAGTGGGGTGAGAGCGGCTGCTGCTGTTACACTCGTGGGCCTGGGGGGGGGAGAGGGGGAGGAGGGGAGTGCCATTCACTGCCTCAGCTCAGCAGCAGCTCCGGGGCCTGGCCACAGGGGTAGGTCTAAACGCAGGGCTGGCCCGGGTCAGCTGACTCAGGCTCGCGGGTCTCTGGGCTGTTTAACTGCAGCACAGATGTGCAGGCTGGGGCCAGGGTCTGGGCCTCCACGAGGGGAAAAGGTCCTGGAGCCCGAACTCCAGCCCAAGCCCGCACGTCTACACAGCCGTGGTAGGGCTCTGCAGCCCGAGCCAGCTGATGCAGGCCAGCCGTGGGGCTTTAACTGCGGCATAGACACACCCAAGGAGACTGAGCAAAACTCAGCGGCTTCGCCGGGCTCCTCACTCCCCAGCCCAGGCCTGCTCTCTCCTCACCCCCCCGCCGACTTAGACCAGCACCAGAGTACTCCCCTCTCGCCTGAACAGGCTGGAAAATACCTGGCTCATTATCCTCCATTAGGGAGGGACCAACGACTGCACCCCCCACCCCTCCAGGAGCCCCCCTTCCAAAAGGAGGAGGGGTGAAGGTGAATCTCTGGT